AAAAATCTTATCACCCTGAATCCAGGAATGCATGGTTTGTTTGACCTCTGAGCATGATCATTAATATTAAAGCAATACATTAGCATTAAAAACCCTATATATTCTTTTAAAATTTTTTTATTTATTTATTTTTTCATTTTATATACCAACCCCTGTTCCCCCGCCCTCCCCTTCTCTTGCTCCCCTACTCTCTAGTGTTGTTCTATTACTGTGATAAAACTCCATGACCAAAAAGCAACTTGGAGTTTATGTTATCTTATAAATCTTAGGCTACATACACTCCATCACCGAAGGAAGTCAGGGCATGTAGAGACCATGGAAGGGATGCTGATTACCGGCTTGTTCTTCAGCTCACATTCAGATATCTTTCTTACACCTTCCAGGACCACCTGCCCAGAGGTGACATCACCCACATGGGCTAGGTCCCCCCCAAACCAACCACTAATCAAGAAAATACCCCACAGGCTTGCTATCTACAATCTGATAGAGGCATTTTCTCAGTTGTGGCTCTCTCTTCCCAGGTGACCCTAGCTTATGTCAAATTGACAAGAAACTAACTAGCACAAGTACATAGAAAAAAATATTTGATAAGGTCAATTCAATACTATTCATGATAATAATATCAGACAATTATACTTTAAAGACTCATAATTATTAGGATGAGGACCTGGAACCATTCTGTACGGCTGGAGCAAAATGTTGTCAGTCACATTGGGAAATTGTTCAGGTTTCCTAGACAGGAAAAAAACCATCTAATGAGAACCCTAACATTATATGAATGTTATGAGACTCAGTGCTTTCTCCCATCCTGGAGATGACAAAATGGTATTTGGTATGATCACCTCTACTCTACACTGTTTTTTCCTAACCCCAACCTAACCCCGAACTGTTTTATAGGTTCTTGCTAGTATATAAATGTAAAAGATAAGTTAAAGCTTTAGTTGTTGATATATTTATGTAGAAAAAGTTAAGAAATCTATGATAAATTAGCAATTAGTAAGTTTAGAAAGGTCAACATATAAAAAAACATTATATCTATAGGTAGCAAAGAAAGATAGGAAATTTAAGAATACCGCGTAAGTGGCACAAAATCTATAATGTTTGGTTATAAATCAAACAAAATACATACAAAACTCAGATTCAAAGCTATAATTAAGGAAGACATTAGTGAGCAGAAGAATGGAGGAATTTCCCAGAATTGGTCTTGAATATAGCTAATGTGCCTGTTATCTCCAAAAGGAGCTGCAGGACTCAATGCATTCCTAAGCAAAATTCCCCTAGTCTTTTGTTTGGGGTCAGGGGTGGGGAAACACAAAATGACAGGTTAATTCTAAAATTTCTACGAAAAGGCAAAGAATTAATGTTATAATAATTTGTAAGAGAAAAGTATGTACTACAGCATTTAAGACCAAGTATAGAATTAGGCCATATAGTTTGTAAAAGGTAAATAAGCAAAAGATAAAAGGTTCTAGAACAATCAAATACTTATGTTTTAAAAGGAATCTATGTTTGATCCCTAGAACACAGGTAAAAGTTAAATTGAAATGCATCTAGATTTAAACACGAGAGCCAAACTGATGATACTTTTGGAAGAAAATGGGAAATCTTTATGACTTCAGGCTAAAGAAGTATTGGATTTCCTCAAAATAGAAACTTTTCCTTTTCACACGATACTGTTAGTAAAACACAAAGACATGTCATAGGCTCAAATTACCTGCAAACCATATCTGAGTAAGAATTTGTATCCAAACCCGGAGGTGGTGGCGCACATCTTTAATTCCAGCAGTCGGAAGTCAGGGACAGGCGGTCTCTGTGAGTTCAAGGCCAACATGGTCTACAAATTGTACAAAAGTTCTAGGACAGTCAGAGCTGTTACACAGAGAAACCCTGTCTTGAAAAACAACAACAAATCCCCAAATAAACAAACAAAATCTGTATCCAAACCCGAAGGTGGTGGCACACACCTTTAATCCCAGCACTCAGGAGGCAGAGGCAGGCGGATCTCTGTGAGTTCAATGCCAGTCTGGTGTACAGAGCAAGTTCCAAGACAGGCAGGGTTACACAGAGAAACACTGTCTTGAACAACCAAAGAATCTGTACCCAGAATATATAACAACTTACAAATCACCAACAACATAAACTACAGAGTTACAAAAAACCAGAGTAAAAGCTATGAACAAACACTTCACCAAGAAAATGTAGGTTACTGTTTGGATCTACAATGTTCCCCAAGTCTCCTAGGTGGCTCCCTTCCCAGCTGCTGGTGGAGAGAGGTGACTGAGTGGATCATGGAGGTGCTAACTTCATTAATAGATTACTCGTTGAGGAGTTCATACTGAATACATAATGGGGTAGGGATGGCTGAAGGAGTGGGTTACTGAGGTGTGTCTTTGAAGTATATCATTTGACTTCAAATCTGTTCTCTTGCTCTCTCTGCTTCTTGGTCACCATGAGGTTAGAAACTTTGTTCTGTCAAATGCTTCCTGCCATAACCTTTAGCCTTGCCTCAGGCCTAAAATGAGGAGAACAAGGGACCATGAACTAAAATCTCTGAAACTGTGAACCAAAATATTAACCTACCTTGCTCTATGTTGACTTCTCTCAAGTATTTTGCCACAGCAATAGAATACTAACACAATACATGATAAAGCAAGTAAGCATGGAAATACCCTCAAATTATTCATTGGTGATATGGAAATGAAAACCACAGACTCCATTCCACTATGATGGCTCAGCCTGAGAAGAGTCACTGCAAGTGTGAGGATGAGGAACAGTCCGAACCTTTCTACACTGTTGGAGCAAACACTACAGCCACATCGGGAAATGGCATCTCAGCATAGCAACTGACAGCTACAACCCAGAAGTTCTACCCTAGGTATTGATCTGAGGGAAATACAAAGCAGAGTCACATAAAGACGTGTGTATGAATGTTCTGTTTTAAGAGTCCATTTATATACAAATCTAGAAAGACAGTAGTTTCCTTGGAGTAGGGTTAAGGGTAGGGAATAGACTTGATGGGGACATAACGGAGTATAGTGATGCAAATATTTTTATTATTGTGTATGTATCTGTTAGAACTTTTTGGACTTAGATGGTATTTAAATTGTATCTCAAAACTGATAAATAAAATTGCCAAAATAGTAACAGTGTATTTTCCCATTTGCAAGTAATAGCTTGTAAAATAATCTTTCAGTTGGGCTGGTAACATTTCTTTGCCCTTCATCGGACAACCATCTCAGTGGACACATACATTAGGAGAACGAAGTCAAGTCTTTCCATGACCCTTACCAAGAGTGGTGAGTCCCTCTGAGAGAGATGTGAGAACATACAGAAGCACAGGAGGCTCCAAGTTGGTGATGAAGCTCATGTGGTCCTGGGTGAGACATTCCAGGAGTGGGTAATAAGACTGGCTCAGTTTCCGATATTGCTACACAAAGAGATAGAGTTAATGTCAAGCCACATGGACATAGCAACCCATCTAACTAAATTATTATTTGGTAAATGATTTATTATTTATCATATTCTAAAGACAAGAGACAATTATATGAGAAAATACCTGGGAAATCTCAAATGCAATGTAAACCAGTATCAAGGTATAACACTCATGGCAAATATAACCTAGAGTCGCGTGGCACCTAGTGAGATTATAACATTTCTATAAGCATGCTTATTCAAGATATGGTTTTCCAACCCCCCCTCCAGACTCACTCAATAAAAAGCTTTGAAGTATGGCCTTGAAATAAGCAATTTTTCATACATGGTACATAAGTCTTATGTACCTTCCCAGGTTTGAGAATTATTGATGGTTTGCCTGGAGTGAAATCAGTTTTCTTGGTGGACCACAACTGTAGTGCAAAGTCCTTTCAATGAGACTGCTGAACATGGTAACTGACGATTCCAGTTTCTACTTTGTAATTTCTGTCATATGGGTTTTGTGTTCAATGAACATTTCACTCCACTGTAAGGAGGTTTCACACCCTGGCATGAGGTGTGCTGTGCATGAGAGCATTGTAAGATCTAGGCACATTTCTCACACAAGCTCTCCAGATCATTTATGAAACTTCTGGGAGCAGATGGGAAAGTCTCAATTAACCCAATGCTGAATTTCATTATTTTAACAAGTACTTACTGAAAACACATCAAGCACACAATGGCTTCTATATAAATTGGCAGAAATGTTTTAAAGGAAATCTGCTGATGAGATAAACCAAAGAAGTCTAGAAATTTGCATTTCCAACAAGCATCCCAGACATTTCTGAAAGGTTTCAAAGTTTAAAGATCACTGACATATATCACAGAAGCTAAATGTCATAGCACAAAGGGGCCAAAAAATCACATTCTTCAATGCACTCATTTAAACAGTGTGGCTTAGAGAAGTAGAGAGGTGAGTAATTCAAGGTACATGACTAATGAACAACACTCTATATATCAGGTTGTTCAACGTTCAGTTTAACACTGTCTGCCATGTCTAAATTTTAATACAAAGGAAGTTCAAGCAGCAAGAAGCTAAAGGGTAGAATGAAAGGAAGGGGAAACTGCATCTAATCCTGTATCTTCTTTTTTGAATCATGAATATAGCTGAAAGCAATTTACTGACATTACTAAATCTATTTTCATATGAAGAGGCTAGAGCACTTTGGATGACCAAGTAGTTAGAAATGACAGCTGAGACGTTTTTTAGCCTGTGCGTTGGCCTGTGCGTTGAACTACATAAATAACTACGAGAGCTGTCCAGGTCTGCTAAGTCTGGAGCAATCATGCTGTTTTGAAACATAGAATGTGCTGGTGTTTGGATTCCCCGGGTTTTGTTGTAACAATTCCAGGCTGTGGTGCTGGTATTTCACTTTTCACATGAAGAACCCCCCAGGGCACAGCAGTGCTTACCAGCAAGTCACTGTGGGACACTGACAGCAGCATTTTCACAAAGGCCTCGAGTACATTGTCAAAATGGTTGTCCCCATACAACTTGAAGACGCCAAAGCTGACATAATTTCCACATAAGGCAGATTTGAGAGCTGAATAGCAGATGGAGATGCCCTTGAGTTTCATTGGATAAATCTGATCTTTTGAGAGACTCCCAAGAGACAAGATCTGATTTCCTGTTGTAGGGTAAAAGCAGAGAGAAAGTGATAAGGAGATGTACTTCAAAGCAGTTGTGAGACACTGTTCCCCAAATTGAATCATCCATTAATCAAAAAATAAATATACAAGATCATTTACTTGGGAAGAATGAAGAGCCCAAGTCAAAAAATCATTCAAGGGCACTATGGAAGGTTAGTGGTTTTATTTGGATGGCAATTATACTGATATATATGTAAACATGAAGAAAACCACGAGAGACACACACTCTTCAGATTAGTTTATGTACTTTAATACAAATGAACTATTAGCCCTTAAATAAACATTTTAATAAAAAAAAAAAAGAGGTAGGGTAAGGGGTGGTGAGATATATCAGTGGTTAAGGACACCTGTTGCCAAGTCTGATGGCCTGAGATCCATCCCTGCATGGTGGAGGGAGAAACTGGACTTCCACACATGCTCTGTGGCTCGTGTACACACATGAATATATACATATACAGAAATGCAAATAAATGTTAAAGAGAAAAGAGAGAAACTGAGTTAGCAAACATAAAAAACAAACGAGATAGGATAAGATCACCAGTGAAGCAAATCGCAGCACTAGCTGAAGAGCTACAGCATGGGAGAGCTCCTGGGAGGGAGTGGTAAGTGTTCTCAACGTGAAGAGCCCTGTAGGTTGACCACACCCCAGTACAGGTCCTGCACCCAAGAGTGCCTGGGTAACACAAGCTGTATTTGATAGGGAAGAAGAAATCTCAACTTGAGTGGGAAGAGATTGGAGAGTGGTAATGGGAGTTGATGGGTGAATATGTTCAAAATATATTGTATGAAATTCTCCAAGAATGAGTAAAAATATTACTTAAAATAACCAGCTAAGTCAGAAAAAAAAAAAAGAAAGCCTAAGATGTAAATGATTCTAAACTCTGGGTGAAGTTTTAATTTCCTATGTGGACTTAATTAATTTTGAGTTACTTTATTTCTAGGAGCCTCATGGATTTGGAATTAGATGGGACACAGAAATTACTGGCATTGTACAAAATAATCAGTTTCTGATTTTTTTTTTCAGGTCTTAGAAGATCCTGAGATGATTAGTTTAAAATCTCTCCCAAAGTTCTAGGTTATGATGGCTAACCTTGGTTAGCCACTACAAATTCGACCACATCTGGAATCAACTAAAACCCAAGCAGCCAGGCATACCAGTGAGAGTTTTTCTGGATTGGATCATTTAAGGTGGAAGACCCGCCCTAAGTCTGGGCCACACCTCCCAGCCTCAGTGTAAAGGGCCATGGGAGAAGGAAGCTCTTGCTCTTTGCTTGCCTGCCATTCTTTCACTGGTTTTAGAACCTCCTTCTTCAAGATTCCAACACAGACTACTAGCAGCTCTCTAGGAATCCTCTAGGACCCCAGGACCAGACTAGGACTGCTGAGACATCCAGTCTTGTAGACTGAACAATTACCAGTCTTGATAAACCCATGGTGAAGTAGTTATTGTTGGACCACTGGACTCCAGCCTGTAAACCGTTGATAAATCCCTGGTTAATTTATACTAGTCTATCAGTTCTGCTCCTTATTTTTATTTATTTAGGTTTTGAGACGGGTCTATGTCCTGGAACTTGCTCTGTAGACCAGGCTGGCCTCAAACTCAGAGATCCGTCTGCCTCTGCCTCCTGAATGCTGGAAGTAAAGTGTGCCCCACCACGTGCAGTCTGTTTTGAGACAGGGTCTCTCTATAGCCATGGCTGTACTGGAACTTGGTATGCTGGTATGTCAACTACGTTGGTCTTGAACTCAGAGAGATCCACCTGTCTCTGCCTTTCAAAGTGTGTGCCACTATGCCCCATAGTTTTGTTCCTTTAGAAAACTTTAATACATATGCTAGCCATTAGCAAGACAAAGAACTGTGTATACAATCACTTTAACATTTCAGTAGTACTTAGCATTTATAATCAACAATTTTTGTGTCTGAAATGTGTTGTGAAAGTGTGTAGCTAATCAGTATCCAGGAATTCTTTAAACAATAGATATGTTCTTAGTTCTTCTTTTTCCTATTCAAATGAGCACTGCTTATAAAATCGAAACTAAATTCAATTTCTAAAATTTAGAAGTATAGTATACTTTAGTCTGTGCCAAACTGGCTAGGAAGTAGAGTTCCCAGAATCCATCACCCGGTATGTTTTTTGGTAGCAGTGGTCCCAGGAGCAATCTGTGAGCACAAGGCGGTAGAGGTAGCTGCAAGGTTTTCTGAGGGTGGACCAGCAGCGGTAAGAGCCATGGCATACAACTGCTGCTAGCTCCAGCTGGTCTTTTGTCTTTTCTGTTTTTGTGCTCATAACCACCAACTCTGCTAATAACCTCAAGCCTGACACCAAATGTGTGGCAGAGGCCACAGCTTCCTATTCCACGCCATCACTTTCCTTCTTATGCCTCATCTTTGTAGATCCTGCTTCAGTTTCTTAGTGCCTAATGTTTAGACTTCCTTGATGGTCCAACACATTCACATATGCCATTATTTCAAGAGGGCTAGTCAGTGGTCTCCCCACCCTCAACCCACCCATGGGTGTATAAGATATAATACCTAAATTAAATTTTAATACATCTTAATCTATACTAAATTAGAACAAAATTTCAGAATGAAATTATTTTTATTATTTTATTTCTTAAAATTTTAAGTTTTAAAGATGAACGGGGAAAAAAGATTCTATTCTAAAAATATTACAGTGTTCCTTTTCTTTAACTTCTAATTCTTCTGACTCCAGCTTCTGTATTCTGGGATCACAGGTCTGCACCTCCACATTCAGCTTATGAGATGCTGGGGTGCTTCCAATTCACACTTGATAGGTGTATCATAGTAACCACACGCATAGAGATGAAAAAGGACCAATACTTCTAGTAGAGCATGAACTAGAACTAGTCGGGGTGAAAGTTTACCCTTTTTTTTTTTGGTTTTTCGAGACAGGGTTTCTCTGTGTAGCTTTATGCCTTTCCTGGATCTCGCTCTGTAGACCAGGCTGGCCTCGAACTCACAGAGATTTGCCTGCCTCTGCCTCCCTGAGTGCTGGGATTAAAGGCGTGCACCACTACCCTGCGAAAGTTTCTCCTTGATCTGTTACTAAAATACTGCCATTGCTCTGTTATGGCCTTGGATGTCCACGTGACTTTGCTTATAATTTAGACATCTGAGAAACAAAAGCTTTATCTAGAAAGCTGAAATCTACCTTGGAATGTACTCAGTAACACATCTTCATTCTAACTCACCTTAGAGACAGATGCCTTATCTCCACAAAGACTGAATGCACTACGACAGTATTTATTTAACAGCTACTATCTGTGAGGTGCTGGGATAAACATGAACGAAAACAATCTTTGCTCTGGAGTTCCTTGTGGCTGGGTGAAGAGATTTGTGATTAACTCTATAAAATGTGACAAATACTATCATAGTAAATAATGATGCTATGGCGAGGTAGAGGACAGTAGGAAAGGCTTCACAGAACAGGCTATGCTTGAAGGGCCAATTGCAGTCTCCTACATAGCCTTGGGAGATGTGATGTATTCTGGGCAGACTAAGTGCAAAGGCTTGGGAGTCTAAAAAAGGAGGTGTGGTAGTCTGAATGTGATTGGCTCCATAAGCTCATAGGGAGTGGCACTATTAGGTGTGGCTTTGCTGGAGTAGGTGTGGCCTTGTTAGAGGAAATGTGTCACTGTGGGGGTGGGCTTTAAGGTCTCCTTTACTCTAGCTTCACTCAGTGTGACACTCACTTCACTTCCTGTTGCCTGCATGCCAAGATGTAGAACTCTCAGCTACTTTTCCAACACCATGTCTGCCTGCACGCTGCCATGTTCCCCGCCATAATGGACTGAACCTCTGAAACTGTAAGCCACCTCAATTAAATGTTTTCCTTATAAGAGTTGCTGTGGTCATGGTGTCTATTCACAGCAATAGAACTAACTAAGACAGTAGGGTACTTGTCTCAAATAAATATAAATTAAGGTCATAACCCCACCCTTCCTTTTCTGAAGAAGAAAAGCACTATAGATAGAAGATGGGAAGAGCTGGGTGATTCTGGAGACAGGCAGGTGCTCACACGTTTTGTGTTTGCTAGGGTCAGAGACAAAGGAAAGAAGCCCAAGGGCTCATTGAATACTGCTATCCTTAGGGGGTAGTCAAGAGCTCTGTGGGCTTCACGGCCACCTGGGTCCTTTTGTGAGCCTTCCCCTGCTCTCCTCTTCCCTCAGCAGAACTGGTCTCTTACTTTCCTAACATCTCTATGCACTTTGCAGCAAAGGTTTAGTAGACAGCCTAGAAACTTCGATGGGACAGTTTTGAAGGTAATGGAGTAGACTATCATCCAGGTTATTCAGGATCCTAATCTTTTCTGCTATGCTAAAGTTACAATGTTGGCACACCTGCCTTTTGGACTGTGTCAGACATGTCTGAATTCATTAATTTACTATTATGGCTTTACAAAAGAATGATTAATATGTTTGAATTAGGAAACTATCTCATGTTACTCAAGTGTCCCAGCGTCCTATGGTTGCTATTAGAGACTATGAAAGAGAAGACGTGGTTAAGCCATTATTTTTTCACTGAATTTAGCTCTCTCCATTATGTATTATTCAGTAATATTTTCCAAAATTGGAGACTGTGCCTTCAAAAGGCTTAAAGTCTAGCAATTCGACTCACTTTATTATACACTCTTCTGTCTCTCAGATGTTGTTTTGCCCTTGCCTGTTATGGCCCAAACATGTGTCGTTCCAATCCTTCGTTCCCCGCACTCCTCCTATGAGGGAGACCTACACCACAGCACTGAGTGGTGGAGGCAATGGCCTGCCAGGTCACTGACAGCTGCTCCTTTGCCGTCTCTGCAGCAGCACCAAAGGAAGACTTTCCTTAAGTGAAGGACTTCCCAAGCCTAGAATCAAAGCAAAACCCCTTAACTACACTGTCTCATTGACTACATCTGTCATAATTAGCGGCAGAGGCAAAGCCCCTGTCCTTAGCACAGGGCCCGGATATGGTGGA